AATCTAAGTGTGGCAATTCTTCCGATCAGTCAAATGCCGGAAACAGCCGGGACCCTGTAATTAGATTACTTAAAAAAGTAATCAATTTTTTCAGGTCATTTCAATATCAGGTGTAGTCACATTCTTTGAGCTTGATCTGAAATTAGATCAACTTGATTGATTTGACTAAGGGGGCCGGTGAGTGCTTCTTTGACGTTGAGACTGCACATGCTTGAGAAAGGAGGAAGCCAGGCGTGCTCATTCTGTTTCTTCGCTGTGGGCTTTTTTCAAGAATGATAATAGATACTCATCTTCATATGCCCTAAATCACCACTATGTATGCGTTCGCGCTCTGCGTTCTCAGTCCCCCCCAATGGGATCCATAACCCCCAAGAACCACGAACTCTCCGAAAAATCTCTCTAAAGCCTTTTTCAATCCCTCTACAAACCCTCACCACAGGACATAGACCATGGGACCACAGCATCATGGGGGGTAAACTTATACACCCCCAATCAAATTCTATGAAAGCTTTATAAAGCATCTACGAACCCTCCAGAAAACTCTCTAACCTCTTGTAATGTGCTAGAAAACCTTTAAATTTTGAATCTATTACGCCTTTTCCCCCCTTCTAGAACCCTCTCCCTACAAGCCCTGTATAAAACTCTATCAAACCTTCAACAGCCCTCTAGAAACCATTCAGGAAACCTTTTGAACACTTTAAAGACCTGCTATGCAATTCATGAACCTTCTGCCAACCTTCTTTAAACCTTCAAGAACCCTCTATAATCACTGTAAGCCTCTGTAAACCTAATCTAAACCCCTAAATGGGTAGTTCCCAAAATCCGGGTCCCATTGTGGTACCCCTTCCTGTTAGTTGCCATAATATAATCTACAACCCAAGAGGGCTCATAATTTTGAGAGTAACTCAAATTAAACCACCAAACCCAGACCACAGGACACAACAGGAAGGTGGTAGCTTTTCATAAGGGGTTCTCTTATTTCTAACCCGGTTATCTTTTTTCATAAAAAGATGCACTTTTCATGATGTTGGACCCTCTTTACACAAGGGACAACCCGTTTTAATCATTGTTCGGCAAAATATTCCCCACATCTAGTTTGGGGTTCTAATTATTTCGACGTGCGTCGCCCGGCACCCGCAGCGTGCCCTTCCGTCGCGCAAACATTTTTGGACGCGTCGATGTGAAGTGATGAATTGCGCTCTCGTTCAAGACGTCTTCATTTCGGAGTATCTTACGATGATGCGTCTGAGAGGGGTCTGGGAGGTCCGTTTGCCTTTACTTTCCTCTTGGTAGGGGGGTCCCGCAACGAACTGAACGAATCCCCGGCTTTCACTAAAATTATTAAAAATCGCGCTCTCGCTCGAGACGTCCTCAAAATTTTGATGATTTTTAAAGATTTTTTGACATTATGAAAACATCAAAATTGGGCACTTTCGTCGGACACTCGACACTTTTTGAGCCTCGGCTCACTTTTGGTTATCTTGATGCTATTTTCAAAAATCGCGCTCTCGCTCGAGACGTCCTCAAAATTTCGTTGATTTTTTTTGTTAAATTATCGTTGATTTATGTTCTTAAGATGATGTTTTTGAGGTGTTGTTTTAGTATAGCCCAAGTATGTAGATTTCATGCAGATCACTTTCAAGATGTTGATGATGTCTTGAAAAAGTCGCTCCCGTGCGGAACGTCTTAACATTTTTGATGAATCGATCTTTAAAAATCGCGCTCCCGCTCGAGACGTCCTCGAAATTTACTGCTTTGATCAAAATTTTGACAGGTTAACTTTTGAAAGTCGCGCTCCCGCTCGAGACGTCTTCGAAATTTCGTCGATTCATCTTATCAAGGGTGATTTTCTTGAGGTTATGTTTTAGTATAGGCCTGGTATAGTTTTTACCGGATTCATCGTTAAAATGTTGAATTTTCATAGGAAGAATTTCTATACCCAAGCTATACTAAACTGATTCGCTCCATATCGTTCTCTTATGATCAAAATCGCGCTCCCGTGCGAAGCGTCTTGAAAATTTTAAGAAAAATCGCGCTCCCGTGCGGGGCGTCCTGAAAATTTTGAGAACATCGCGTTCCCGTGGGGAGCGTCTTCAAAATTTCGATGAAAATCGCGCTCCCGTGCGGAGCGTCCTGAAAATTTTGAACAACATCGCGCTCTTGTGCGTTGAGTCTCAATCTTCATTTATGAAAATCTCGCTCTCGCGCGGAGCGTCTCGATCATGATGCATACATATCTCATAGATACGCGCCTACATGCACACAATATATATGCATGCATACGCGCATGCGTACAGATACACGTCCACACACACAGACATGTACACGTATGTAAGCACACACATCGACATACACACACATACACATCCACAAACACGCGCATACACATACGCACCATCACCACTATCACCACCATCACCACCATCACCGCCACCATCACCACCACCGCCATCGCCATCACCATCACCATGACCAACATCACCAGAACCTAAGCGCGTCAATTTGACCAGATTTTGTCCTTCATGTTTTTTTTTTGGCGAAACGAAGCAGGAGAACATCTGGTCAAATTGACGCGCGTCATGTTCTCAAGAAACTAGGCGCATCATTTTGACCAGATTTTGTCCTTCATGATTTTTTGCAAAACAAGGCAGGAGAAAATGTGGTCAAATTGACGCGCGTCATTTTCTCAAAAACCTAGGCGCGTCAATCAATGATTTGTCATATTTTCTATTATCCTTATCATCCTTTTTTTATCATCCTTCTCTTTTTACTATCTTAATACGGAAAGCAAAGGGAAACAAGGGTCTCATTTCCCTTCTCCCTTTCCCGGAAAGCAAAGGGAAATACGGGTCTTATTTCCTTTCTTCCATTCCCGGAAAGCAAAGGGAAATAAGGGTCGTATTTCCCTTCTCCCATCTCCGGAAACCAAAGGGAAATACGGGTCTTATTTCCCTTCTTCCATCTCCGGAAAACAAATTCCCTTCTTCCATCTCCGGAAAACAAAGGGAAATAGGGGTCTTATTTCCCTTCTCCCATCTCCGGAAAGCAAAGGGAAATAAGGGTCGTATTTCCCTTCTTCCATTCCCGGAAAGCAAAGGGAAATAAGGGTCGTATTTCCCTTCCTCCATCTCCGGAAAGCAAAAGGAAATGAGGGTCTTGTTTCGCTTCTTCAAGACTGGGCCCCTCCAGGGG